CTACAAATAAATTTTTTCCAAGGCCGTCTTCAATTTTAAGCGATTATTAACTTTTGCTTTTCAAATTGCTCTATATATTTTTCTTTACGTCATTGGATAGAGATTGTTTTTCTGAATCCACTGATGTACAATACATCCATTTTGAATATAATTTTAGTAGAGAAAAGACACCTGTATATACAGGTTGCCACACAAGAACGCCGCAAGCTGTAACTCTGTCATTTACCTTCCAATTTTCATGACCTAGCTATCAAATGTAATGGTTTGATGAATACTATGATTCATGCTACAAATAAACTTTTTCCAACGCCATCTTCAATTTCTAGCGATTATCAACATTTGATTTTCAAATTGCTCGGTATGTTTTTCTTCACGCTATTGGATAGAGTTTTTTTTTCTGAATCCATTAATGTACAATACATCAATATTAATTGTAATTGTAGCATAGAAAACCATTAAAATAGTTTCTGAACATTCTCTTAAAGTCACTTGTATTATACTGTNAATATTTGAAACTTAATTAATGCTTTATTATTATTACTATAACTTAAAGTTAATCTAATATTAAAGTGAGCGAAACAATAACAAACCTAGCAAAATTTATCAGCACTAAAACAAAACAAAAGGAACAGGATTCATGTAACATGCTTTAGTCTTAGTCAGAGTTTTAAGTTCTTAGTTCATCATTTATCATAATCATGGTTTGCATTGCATTCTTCTTAAGTCTCCAGATCTGTTTCTCTTTGTTCTTTAAAATTCCTATTCAACATAAAACTTTCCATTGTAAAATGATTATTGCAAATTGTCATTCGGCTAGAATATATGTTTTCTACAGGAACACCAAGGCACTCATTGCATGATCGCTGTCTTAAATATCAAAGTAAATTTTCATTTAGTACAAAGAATCTATCTAACTTAAATTTATAAATGTACTTATTGGTATTTAATGGAAATCAAAATAACTTGACCACTTCCTCTACCGAACGTTCGCAAATGTAGCAAATCCTATCCATTTTGGTCCTTACTTTACCACCAAAAACCAACTAATTCTAAGATAACAAAGTATGACAATAAAACTAAGGAAAACTAAATTATGCAAACAAATAAATTGCTGAACAAATCTATAATGAAACGATACAGATTTGTTTAGTAGTTTATATAATCAAACGATAAACACGCAAAACTGCACAATAATTAAACAAAACACACAAAGTTCGTTAGTTGTGACAGAACTACGTCCATTTTTGTTTACCGGAAGGAAGCTTTTAGTTCAGTTTACTGATAAAGTCATTTATTTTAAGTTATCTATTAAATTAAAATGGGTAAATATCCAAAAAGTGATGGTGATGGTTTTTGCAAAGCTTATGTCAATGATTATGATTCTTTTTCGTTTTCAAAGATGAATCAGATGGAAGCTGGATGCTGCTTTGGATAAAAATGTAAGATATCTTTTTTAATTTTACATCAATAAAATTATTTTGTTATATTTCAATAATTTAATAGCAATAAAAACGCTTCAAAATAATGTATGTTCCTTAAAAATGTAGAAAACGATAATTAATACTTGATTTTTGTTTCTAAATAATTTTAGGTATCACAATGGTAGAATATGGATTAAAATTTTGAATAAAAAGTCAAGATAAAATGGTGACCAAGGACATTAAAAAAATCCCTGGGTAAAAACTACATTTACCATTTTTTTTTAAGTTTAAAAACACAAAAAGGTTAGGTGGGTTATTTGTTTTAATTATACATTTTGCTTAGAAATATTAGATATCTTCTTCTTCTTCTCCTGATCCTTATGCCTGATGGAGTCGGATAAACCTTTTTAATGTTCCTCCATCGCCTCTTCCACTCCCTCTGGCTCCTCTCTTTTTCCCAACTTCTGCTATTCTTTCCTCCCATTTCTTCCTAGGTCATATCCTTATTCTTTGTTTCAAATACCTTTTTTATTGTTGTGTTATGTTCCATTCTAATTATGTGGGCCTACCAGTTCAGTTCCCTTCTTTCTATTTTACTACTTATCTCCTCTTGTTCTATTCCCAGTCTTATTTACTCATTTCTTATTTAAAAAAAATTTGTAGAAATTTCATTTCCATTGCTGTGATGTTTCCTTCTTGTTTATCTTGGAGTGTCCATTATTCAGTAGCATATGTTAATATTGGAACTGCCACCGCGTTGTACACTTTCAATTTTATCTTTTTATCTATCTCCTTCTTCCCAAAAATTGTTTTGTATTTGTAGTTTTGTGTCCGTAGAACGTGGTTAGCAAAAACAGGGAATTGTTCTTTTGAGTATTTTATTATTATCTACTTAACTTTAACACAGTCTTACATTCACTTATTCTACTTTTTTATTTATTTTTGTACTACTCTTTTTACCGACTTAAAAACTACTTCTTTCTTACTCTAATTTACCATTGATACCATAGATGGCGGCACTTATACATAAACTTCAACAGTATTAGATATACACTTGGAAAATTATTCGTTATTTCTTTTTCCGCAATAATTTCTCAAAATTAGTTAACATGTTGACTGCCCAACACGAGATAACACGTATTAGCGCTCTTCCTCAGGACGCCCAATACAAGTTATCTCGTATTGCGCTTTTTTGACTTGCCATGTTCGCGCCACTATCAGTGAGTTCCTTGTTTATAAGTGTAAATATGAATGGATGGTCTCCTGGAAGAAAATAAACAATCAAGTTTGGCTTGTATTGTATCTTGGAGAGTTGTTAATAAATGACACTAATAGTCGTTAATACTTTATTTAATCTAATCACTTTATTCACAATAGAATCTACGAATCTACGTTTTAACGTTTACATTACGTTCTTATTAAGGTTATGTCTTGTTGTATGTTTGGTTGTAGTGATGGGCGATATATCACGAACTGTTACTTTTTCACTGCCACTTAAAAATAACACGGAACGATCGTTCCTACAGACGTTCCTAAACCGTTACTGTGATCACGGCTTTTGTTCCACTGGTGTCGCTACTCTTGTCTGTCGCTCAGCGTTGCCAACCCACAAATCTAAAAGTCGGTAGTTCCAATCGTAAAATATCTCTAGGTAGGTCTCGGATAAAATCGGTAGGTTTAAAAATAAATTTAAAAAATACAATTTGTTGGTAAATAATAGAGAAGTAAAAAGTTAAATAGGTTTATTACATTTTATAAATTTAAACAGTATAAAGATTAACAAAGAAAACAATAAACTAAACATTATTCTAATAAAATGAAACAATAAATAAATAAATAAACACTCTAATAAAATAAAACATTTTTTAATAACAAAAACCTACTTACTGTACGACCACTTGAGTGTGAGACCTGACAAATGTCAAAACACATTATTAAACATTACTAAAATATTATTATCCTGACATTGACAGGTCTCAGGCTCAAATGGTCGTACAGTAGTTATTTAAATTTCACTTGAGGCGGTATACAAATTTTGTTTGTTCATCAACGAAATTATGTTACGATCTATACGAAAATTGTAGCAAGTATCGTCACTTATGTATTGCTTGGTATGTACTAATCCTGTTATAGTATCTGTGTTTAATTTATTACGTATTTTGTTTTTAATTAAATTTATGGAAGAAAATACTCTTTCTACATTCGCAAATGAATGTGGAAAACTTAAAATATTGTAAACAAACCTAGTTAAAATTGGAAATAATGTTGATTCATCAGCCTGTTTCAAATTTTTAACTTCTTCCCAAAATTTTAAAACATCTTGAGAAAATTCTTGTACTTGTTCAACATTTCGTAGCAAACGCCATTCAGAATCAAGGATTTGTAGTTCCTCCTCCTTTATTAAATTCGGAAATAAAATTGCAATATTTGAAATACTACCGATGGAATCTGCTTTTACCTCAATTGGATCAACAATATTAAATAATTTAATGATGTTATCTTTTAAAGAAAATCTGGTGCATATTTGGCTACATGCTTCGATATAAAAATCTAAACATCTTAATCGAAAGAATGTTTTTTGGTCAGAAGTCAGATTTAATTCTAATAATGATTTATTAACATTTGCTCCGCAGTAGATTTCTTCAATTGGCATATAGTTTCTGGGGTTTTTAAAGTCGACATTTTCTATGGGCGTTCTTTTTAAATAATCTCTTTTCATAAAACAATCATATATGGATTTAATTACTTGGGTAATATTTTTATGTAAAGTGTATAATTTTGGGGATTCTGATTGCATTTCTTTATTTAAATTATTAAAGAACGGCAAAACAAATTCTAAAAATTGTAAAAATAGTTTACTTGTTGGGTCGTTTAGTTTTTTTAAATATTATCAGCGGCTAAAACATCACTTGATGCTACTGCATCAGTAAAAAATAATTGTAAGAGGCTATACTGTTGCAAAATTCGACATACGACACTGTGTACGGATAGCCATCTAGTTTGTGAAGGATGCAAAATTTTATGAATCTTCACCCCACAGAATGCCTGAAATTCGCCGAACTCAGCAATCCTTTTCGGGCTAGAACTAAAATAATTGTATATATCCCTAGTTAAGTCCTCTACAAATCGTGGTAATTTTTCGCATGACTTAGATGCGCACCAATGGAATGAGTGGCATATACATTTCATTATAAATAATGATGGTATATCCTGTTTTAATAGNACGTTTACATTACGTTCTTATTAAGGTTATGTCTTGTTGTATGTTTGGTTGTAGTGATGGGCGATATATCACAAACTGTTACTTTTTCACTGCTACTTAAAAATAACACGGAACGATCGTTCCTACAGACGCTACAGACGTTCCTGAACCATTACTGTGATCACGGCTTTTGTTCCACTGGTGTCGCTACTCTTGTCTGTCGCTCAGCGTTGCCAACCCACAAATCTAAAAGTCGGTAGTTCCAATCGTAAAATATCTCTAGGTAGGTCTCGGATAAAATCGGTAGGTTTAAAAATAAATTTAAAAAATACAATTTGTTGGTAAATAATAGAGAAGTAAAAAGTTAAATAGGTTTATTACATTTTATAAATTTAAACAGTATAAAGATTAACAAAGAAAACAATAAACTAAACATTATTCTAATAAAATGAAACAATAAATAAATAAATAAACACTCTAATAAAATAAAACATTTTTTAATAACAAAAACCTACTTACTGTACGACCACTTGAGTGTGAGACCTGACAAATGTCAAAACACATTATTAAACATTACTAAAATATTATTATCCTGACATTGACAGGTCTCAGGCTCAAATGGTCGTACAGTAGTTATTTAAATTTCACTTGAGGCGGTATACAAATTTTGTTTGTTCATCAACGAAATTAAGTTACGACCTATAGGAAAATTGTAGCAAGTATCGTCACTTATGTATTGCTTGGTATGTACTAATCCTGTTATAGTATCTGTGTTTAATTTATTACGTATTTTATTTTTAATTAAATTTATGGAAGAAAATACTCTTTCTACATTCGCAGATGAATGTGGAAAACTTAAAATATTGTAAACAAACCTAGTTAAAATTGGAAATAATGTTGATTCATCTGCTTGTTTCAAATTTTTAACTTCTTCCCAAAATTTTAAAACATCTTGAGAAAATTCTTGTACTTGTTCAACATTTCGTAGCAAACGCCATTCAGAATCAAGGATTTGTAGTTCCTCCTCCTTTATTAAATTCGGAAATAAAATTGCAATATTTGAAATACTACCGATGGAACCTGCTTTTACCTCAATTGGATCAACAAAATTAAATAATTTAATGATGTTATCTTTTAAAGAAAATCTGGTGCATATTTGGCTACATGCTTCGATATAAAAATCTAAACATCTTAACCGAAAGAATGTTTTTTGGTCAGAAGTCAGATTTAATTCTAATAATGATTTATTAACATTTGCTCCGCAGTAGATTTCTTCAATTGGCATATAGTTTCTGGGGTTTTTAAAGTCGACATTTTCTATGGGCGTTCTTTTTAAATAATCTCTTTTCATAAAACAATCATATATGGATTTAATTACTTGGGTAATATTTTTATGTAAAGTGTATAATTTATAAACATCACTTGATGCTACTGCATCAGTAAAAAATAATTGTAAGGGGCCATACTGTTGCAAAATACGACATACGACACTGTGTACGGATAGCCATCTAGTTTGTGAAGGATGCAAAATTTTATGAATCTTCACCCCACAGAATGCCTGACATTCGCCAAACTCGGCAATCCTTTTCGGGCTAGAACTAAAATAATTGTATATATCCCTAGTCTTCTACAAATCGTGGTATTTTTTCGCATGACTTAGATGCGCACAAATGGAATGAGTGGCATATACATTTCATTATAAATAATGATGGTATATTCTGTTTTAATAGTGTCATTAAAGAATGTTTAGATCCCATCATTGAGTGCGCGCCATCTGATGCAAAACCAATCATATTGTTTTTGTAAGGTATTTTATTATCATTAAAAAATTCCACAATATGTTTATGTAAAGTTAAAGCATCAGAGCCACAGAGTTTAATTAAACCCAAGAAACTGTCTTTAATTTTAGCTTTGTCGTTGTTGTATCTTACCACTAAACACAAGTGCTTTACCATACTTCGGTCAGTGGATTCATCCGCTATTAAGGAAAACTTTGTGTTTCTCAGGTCTCTGCAGATTGCTTCAAAGTTTTGGCGTCCTAGCACATTTTTTACGATTCCTGTGGTTTTGGTACGGCCACATGCTAATCCTTTAGCAATGGTCGAATCAGGGCATATTTTTGTAATCAATTTTGGAAGATGGTACATGATAGTGAATGATAAATTGTGTTCGGCAATAAATCCAGTTAAACGTATTTCCGCTAAAATATAGAAATCCATATAACTAGTATGAACGTAAAAGAAATATTGGGAAAACATTGATAAAACGTATAAGTTCAGAATTACCTACCTTCTTTAATTTCCTGTTCCCCAGGTGCAGTGGATGCGCTAGGTTTCAGAAACGAGGTGATAGACTTTTGTTTTATTATCGTGTTACTATTATCTTTGTGGACGGTTGTTTGAGAATGTTTTGTAAGTGCGTTTTCCTACTTTTGATATTAATATTTTTATCACATGGTAAACAAAGCGCAAAGCTGCCTTTTTTACTTTTCTGAACCCAACCTTTATATTGCGGTATTCTCTCCCATTCATCCTTATATTTTTGATCATATTTGATTTTTTTACTTTTTGGTTCTATTTCACATTCACTCGATGAACTTGAAGACATGTTACTACTAAGTATGAAGTGAAACAAACGTAAATTTTACACAACGAATAAACGAACAAGGGAATTCCCGTAAGATCAAAATTCTGAACATCTACAAAGGCCATCTATTGTACGCACTAATAAGTTTTACAAGAAAATAACTAATAAAATTTAATTTATTTGGGCGTCGATATAGAATTACATTATTTTCTAAAATTTAAAAATCGGTAGATGACATATCAAATCGGTATATCGGTAAATGGCTTTCTAAATCGGTAGATATACCGATAAATCGGTAGGGTTGGCAACGCTGCTGTCGCTATTCGCTAGCCCGTTAACATCGCGTTGCGTCGCCGTTATGCATAACCACAACCACACGATCAGTTAAATGTGTGACCTCCTACCGCATCGAGAGCTGCGACGTGTAGAACTATCTAGTAGTTGCCTACCACGGGGAATAAATTCTATCTCCTAATAATTTTACCAAACATTGCTATTTATCGGCGTGATTTGCAATATGCATATGTATTTGAAAAACATATTGATTTAACAAT